TTTTAAGTGGATATTCGTTACCTAATTTATCATTCCTTAGGAGTTCTCGCTACCCTTTTATTCTTTCTAATAGGTTTTAAATATTCAGTAAAATTGATTGTTCCATTGGTGCGCTCTTCATTTCTCCCAAGTACAGTTTGTTCCAATGTCTAGATTTGTTTGCATCCTTATTATCATCTCAGGCAAGTCTAAATCACAGAAAATGAAATTGGACGTGATCCAGTTGATAAGTGATTCCCTGGACTTTTTATGTCGCTATGGTTATTTCTAGTATAACTACAACGTATAAGTGCCTTTAATAAATGTGTTAAGTACAATATTATGCCGTGGATAATATTCATGGTCTTGCATTCTAGTACATTGAAGAGAGGACTCAGCTTTATTTTTCAACTTTGATTCACTTGTGTTGTTTATATTATTTGAGCAATCTTCTCCAACTTTCATTGTGCAATCTTGGATTTGGAATAGCTATATAAAGTGCACATGTGACAAGGCGAATTATTTAATTGGTTTCATGGCCAATTGCTTGATATGTTTGACCTCAATATTTTGGGCTTGCAAGTTTGCGATACTACTAATAAAGTAATTAGTAGTGCAAAAGTTCCCAGTAAAGAACATGGTCGAAATTTCGTTTGTACTATGAATGTTAGAGGCTTATAACGACGGTTGGCTATTCTTTAAACTCCAATTACTCTTTTACTTTAGTGCCTTCGTTCTCAAACATTTGGGAGAAGCACTTTCAACGGTGAGTTAGCTATTTGCCTGATCTTATTGCTGTATGTAGCAAATTTAGAAGCGATTTTAAACGAATTAATTCGCAATTTACTAACTCAATATCAAATGAACATTTTGCTATTTTTTGTAGATATTGCACTTGTTGGTTAAAATACGCATTTTATATTCTGCTACCTAACTTATAAGAAACCATCTACGTAATATCTTTATTAAACATTTTATCATTTTTTTCTTCAGATTAAATTGAAGAAAGAAGACGTATGCCTTCCATTGAAAGAAGCTGAAGAAGAGGGAATGGAAATTTTGGCAGAGGGAGTTGAAGATGTTAAATTGAACGAATGAGTAGATGACCCCGGGGTGGTTATTTTTGTAATAAATTTGCTTTAGCTTGAGTCTGTTTCGCTTGGATTGATGATAGGTATCAGATGGGGCATAATATTAGTTTCGGTATTTATAATCGTATATTGCCTAGAAGGGAGCACAGCTTCAATTTGTCAGTCCTTTTCACGGATATTTGAATAATGGCAAATATATAATATATAGGCATTTTTTGAACTTTAGTAGTTCTCTGTGGCAAGATCCATTTGCATATGATTGCTCCCAAAAGTATCATGTTGTGTCAACAGTTTCAAGGAAACAACGTAAATGAAGACGTTTAGATTAATTTTGAATGAACATCAGTGGGTTCAAAACTAACGAAGTGTTTGCACTTACTCTCCAAATGACTGGACCTAAGGCCGGACTTTAAGAAATATTCTACCTCACACAAATAATTTTGTCGGCCTTGAAACAGTTCCTAGATTTCCAGACTTAAAGTTAGTAGGACTGAAGGAAATGGAAATCGGTAATGGATAAACTAATAGGAAATCGTTTGACTGTTCATTAATCACCATGCTAAAATTGATTTGTTTGAGCACCGCAGATTGGCTTAAAAAATCATAGGGATGCCTTTACAAGTGGATGATTTATATTTTTAGGTTTTGGTAATTTCAACTTACTTGTTAGGAACTTGGATGGAGTGAAATAAATTCGCTAGAGACAAGTCCTTATTCCAAAATACTTTATTCCCAAGCTTAAAAATAATAATATTTGGAAATCTGTCATAATTAAACGAGACATAGCTTTAACAAGGAAAAGAAAGATAGAATATAAAACTGACATATTTTTACAAATAGAAAAATTTCATAATTTAATTTATTATTGCAGCGGCAAATTTACTTCAGAGAATCTTCAAATAAATTGCGTTACTTATGATGACACCATCAAATATCTCCAAATGAGTCTAATTGTAATGCCCAACGTGCATATATTAAGCAAATATAAATGGCCTAAATTAAATATAACACGGCATTTTATACGCTGATACAGGAAGCATGGAAAAACTAAGTGAACAGGAGGTTTAAGCACATCGAAAGGTAGGGAATTGGTGCAACCGCGAGCATTAAATATTTCTCTACAAAAGAGTTCGATGCGCCGCTCGGCTGCTCCCAGCTTTTCTAAGCAAGTCAGTTCGATTAGTTAAAGTAAATTGCACTACTATATGCAGCATGAATTAATGTATAGTTTTATATTTGGTTGTCCTAGTAATCGCTGTTTTTGTGCCTTGTGTAATTTTCAATAGGGTGAATCTGGTGTTGCGCTAAGCCACAATGTTCGATCCTTCATGAGCCAAAGTTTTCCTCAAAAGTCAACATTTACAGGGGCTTTGCATTCACAGACTTCAAAGACAAATGATGAAAATTCTCTGAAATTGACCACTGAAAAGCGCTATGAAATAGTTTATGCAAAGCGGTCAACCAAAAAGGTACTTTTGACTTGCTTTTTTATGTCCTTTTCAGCATAAGAAATGGGAAGACGATGGGATACTCATTCTTTCAGGGCTTCATGCTAGAATTTGTTCTACTGACTCTAAAACGTAAACTATTCGAGTTGTACTCTAACGCCAATTTTTGCAGAATAGCCAGCACTTCTTTAAAAGCGGCTCTGCTGAGTACTATTGAGCTTGGGATGATTTTAGTTGTTGGATCTTATGAATGCCAGCTTATATCAGTGATTGACCAAGTCCGGAGGACAAATGAATTGGAAGTTGTCCCATCTTCCCAGAACTCGCCAGCTCCTCTCCAAAAGCCTCTTAAAAGGGTATGCAAAGTTTCCTCATCTCAAATACTTAAATACAGGCTAACAGTATAGCCCAAGAACCAAAATTTGACGAAAGAGCTTTCCTTTTGCCTCGTCCACCAAATGCTCATATGGTATTTGAATTTCTGGATTTCCCAATGACCATATTTTAGTGGAAATACAACGCAGAAGGACTACCAATTGTGGATGTCTATCTTGGCGGAAATTTAGCATCAAAATTACATCCATATCAACTCGAGGGTATCAAGTTTCTCTATGAGTGTGTTCTCGGCTATCGAAAATTAAGCGGATTCGTTGATTTTAGTCCTGACGAGGATTCTGAATGTGTATATGGAGGTATTTTAGCGTATGTCGACGATATATTTTTATATAATGTTGGTTTTCTAGGGATGAAATGGGTTTAGGAAAGACTGTTCAGGTTATTGGCCTCCTCTCAGTTTTGTTAAAGCAGGGTCCCTATGGTGGAATACCTGTCATACGACGTTGTCTTATTGTTACTCCTGGAAGTTTGGTGATGGTAATAAATCATAATGTGGTTATTCTTCTCCATTTCTTAGAACTGGCAGAAGGAATTCACTAAATGGATAGGAAGAGAGAATATCTCCACTTATTGCGTCAATCAAGACAACCCAATAAAAGCCTATTTATCACAAATGCGACCTCCTCCTATAATTATCATCTCCTATGAAATGCTCCTACAACACTCTGATCGAGTGGTTGAAATGAATTCAATAGATCTGGTTGTATGTGACGAGGGACATCGTCTCAAAAATTTGGAGATTAAGACCACTGCAGTGAGTTAATATTCTAGTTCTTTTATTTAATTAGTGGGTACTAATGCACTTTTTCAATTTCGTATAGGTTTTGAAGCGATTGCCGGCTCGTCGGAGGATAATTCTTACAGGCACACCAATTCAAAATGATCTCAATGAATTTTGGTCACTGGCTGAATTCGTTGCTCCTGGTTGTTTAGCTTCTAGTCGCGAGGAGTACAGAACGTGTATTGTAAATCCTCTTTCCAGGTCTTCTCATTCCTCAGATCTTTCCAGGATTTTCACCTCGGGTTCTGATGACGTAGAAGATGAAGAATCTGATGTTTTGAACGCAGTGCATAAGTTGAAATCTTCTTTGAAAACTTTCCTTTTGCGTAGAACGTCGGATATGATTACTAATCGCCTTCCCGACAAAGGTGGTCCTATCAAAATTAATATTATTATTTTGCTGAATTTATTTAAGTAGCATGTATTTTTCCTATAGTTGAACAGATCGTCTTTTGTGAAGCAACTCCCCTTCAACAAGAAGTAGAGAAAGAGTTGTTGAAATGGCTTTACAAGCAGCTGGATATGAACGATCTTGTTGAAAATGATATTATAGACATGATGGGAGAAGATACTCTTGATTCATTTCCTCAGTCTACTAGTTGTGGCTTAGATGTTCTAACCTGTATCATGACCTTCCGAAAGCTCTACAATCATCCTTCACTTGTTTTGGAAATGCTGGAACAAGATATCAAACAGAAGCGCGGACTTAATTTATCCAAAAAGGTAAGTTTGAAAATCGATTTCTAGCATGATCAGCGGAGTTGTGGTCATGTCCATAAGAATACATTGAGGTGTCTTTCAGCTTATTACTTACTATACTTTGTACACCTCATGCCCATAAAATTCCTTTCAAAGTTAAATTTGATTGGATAATATTTGTCCTTAGCTGTTTTATTTTCGAAACATGATTTTTGTCACTATTTGACGATTGTTGTTTTAATTAAGATTAGAAAATAGTTTTAAGTTTGTAAAACAAATGATGCTGAAACTTTGCTTTTAATAAGAAATAAACAAAATTCTACTTTCACTGTGGTTTGCAAAGTACTGCGATAGAATTTTACTTCACGCTTTCCTCCAATATATTATTCTTATTAATTCGCCAATGTTCCCTTCATAGCCTTTCTTCTTAAAAATTCATTTAGGCAAACCATTTTTTGGGAATAATTGGGGGAGGGGGAGATTAATAAAATTCTAAGTTCTTAATGGAAGCATTCCAGTCACGTATTTTCTCTAACTTTCTTCCATTAATTGGTAAGCCAGGTGATATTTGTGATATTTTGTATTTAATATGATCGATCGTATCAAGGAAACACATTTTGAATCCTCACTTCGATAAGCATGATGATTTTCAAAAAATCATATTTCCAATAATTCAAATTCATCTTTCTGATAATGAGACATAAGATTTTCCTACGTAACAAACGCCCGTATATAAATCTTAGTTCGTCTGGCTGTAATTATCTTTTGAGTCATCAAATTCCGAGCAGAATGAAAAGAAATCTTGCATAATGTTCTAGTTTCCATAGAAGTCACTATTAAAGTAGTCAACTACGTTAGTTCCTTTTACGAATACTGTACATTTTCATCTTAAGGGAATTCGATCGGGAGAGTCAAAGTTCAAAGCTATCAACTGTATGCTGATGTTTGCGAGAATGAAAGTAATGCTCTTGCATTATCGACAGAATCACTTTTCTTTTGTCATAATGGCCAATAAGAACTTCCGGTGTTCAATTTCTGGTTACTTTTAGGCTTTATGAAAGGCAATGAAGATTGTGACTACATATATTCCATTTTCGTCTTCAGAGTTTTCACTGGAATTAGTACTATCTCCTTAAAATATTGTTTTTAAAAAGAATGCGACAATTGTTTTTCGTGCTGAGAATTGAAGTAATTTCCATTGACCAAATATCTCCATCCTTCCCCAAAACAACTGTTATCTTTATTGATTAATGGACACATATACATTCATACCTAATCGAAATTGTATTTAGAGAAGTGCAGAAACTTTCATAGAAATTCCATATTAGTTGAACTTACATTGAGATGTTACTTCTTCATCACAAGTTGAAATGTCGTTGCTCCTATTGATGTAATGTGTTTATTTAAACGGGACTCGCGTTTAAATTTTTAGCAAACTTTTCCAGATACCTTGACAGATAATCTCATTGCAATTCTTCATCATGGTCTTTCACGCACTGAGCGCACTGGCTGTTCCTCGTCTGTATGTACTTCTTCTGGGAAGTTGACGGTGCTTCAACGTCTTCTCACGAAAATCTCCCAGTTGCCTTCTGATTCACCGTGTCGTGGTGGCTGTCATCGATTGGTACTGGTTTCCAATTTCACGAAAGTAAGTTCGTTAAAAGAAGCATTAGAATCTGCTTAACCAGCAAATTAAATACTTAATCCTGTTAAATTGCTATCTATAATAATTGGGAACAATTCTAGGGTGATACATACTAGTTGTGCCTTTATCAACTTTAGGCTTCTTTCTATGTGGTTATTTTTAGACCTTGGACCTCCTTGGACCTATTTGTGAACGAATTATGAATACTCCATGCCTTCGAATTGATGGTAAAACTCCCACGAAACAGCGACTCAACATTGTAGATCGTTTCAATTCTCCTACTTGTATTGAAAGTATATTCTCTATTCCATAGTTCCTCATTAATCAAGTCAAAGAAAAGTTTCATAATATGATTTATTTTGCCTTCCAGAAGTCCTTTTGCTTAGTTCCAAGGCTGGTGGTACTGGTCTCAATCTTATCGGGGCTGACTTCCTAGTGCTCTTTGATATTGACTGGAATCCTGCTACTGATGCTCAGGTAAGTTATCTCACAAGTGGTGCTAGACCTTTTTACGCATTAGTTTCAGACAAATAGACTCGAATTGTGGGCTGCGTTTGCTGTAGTTATGTGGCTAACAGTTATCAGCCAATAGCAGACAACCAAACTTCTCACTAATTCATACTATAAAATATCGGATAAAGAAGAGCTTATTGAATCGCAATTAATAAAAGTTGGGGTAGAAAAGGAGTAAGTATGAGAGGGGGGGGGATTCAGAAAGAAAAGTACAAAGAAAGAGGAGATTGCGAGAATCGACAGTTTGCATCGCCAGTCTTGGAATTGATGTGCTGTTTGGTGTGACAAAAATCTATCAATCGCGACAGAAGGGGATAAAAGTGGTTAATCTACCTTCTTAGACTCTGTCGACTGAACACAGTTCATGCAAACGCACGAACGTTAACATCGCCTAACACTAATTTTCAGCTATAAATAACGGAAAAAATACTAAATCAATGAGACAAAAGGCATCCATCTTTCGCCCTCTACTTTTTTTTGTTCGCTCTAGCTGTTATCGCCACTTGTCAGCAATTTGACTTGTTTTATGGCGACAACTGATTAGTGCTTGCCACTGTCAACCGTAATGTCCACTTAAAATTAAAGCTCTCTTCTGGGTTACTGAATTCTCATTTTAGAAGTCAAATGGTGATGATGGAACTTGTGATAACGGGGCACAATCTAATCGTACTAATTGAAGTCGTCTCTTTGTTGTCTTTCTAGCGCTTCCTGCATATGTGGGTTTGGTGTGGCTCTCCAATTCTCCTTTAATAATTCGTTATTTTTTCACTGTTAGGATTCTCCCTCTTTGTTAATAAATTATTCGAGGTATTGAAGAACTCTCCCATCTCTGTCCAAAATGTCGTTTGAATTTGTAGGGCTTTGCCACCACGTGTTCTTCGGATATTATTACTATCTTGGCAATTTTAATTTAACATTGTACCAAGAATAGGATTTTGATTGAAGATGTATAGTCATCAATTTTGGAGACTTCCTTACTTAAACCAGGATTTTGGCATAGCTTTATTAATTGAGGCTTAGCAGAACATTTACTCGGTAAAGTATGGTGACTGAAATGTTATAGTTGTTGTGGGTGTTAATTGCGAAGGTTGGTTCTCAATTACATTTCCTTAATCTTGCCCCTCGAAGTTGTCCAATCACAGAAGAGAGCCTACGCTCAACTTGATCGAGTTTGACGGATTGGGGGGGGGGGGGGAGTGGCTACGCTACTTTCATAGTTGCAGGATTGTTGTTATAGCAGGTGTTATTTATAACCACGAAATTCTCTTCGTTTGTCATTTTCTCGCAGTCGGATGATTTGTTTGATCCCTCCCAACTAAGTTCTCCATTGAATTTCAACTAATAGTTAGGCTCGCTTTTTTCACCCAATTCATCCAATTTAATATTCAAATGTCACCCCTTCCCCTTCTTCCTAAAGTTGCGAGGGCATTTGACAGAGGAGGGCTGTATATATATTTGTTTATTAACTCTAGGCCCTAGCTCGAGTCTGGCGAGAAGGCCAAAAGTGTCGTGTTCACTTGATTCGACTTATTACTGCTGATGGACTGGAGGAACGCATTCTACAGCGTCAGGTGGCGAAATCCTCACTTGCTAGCACAGCGATATCGGCCTCATTTGCATCGTCTACAAACTCTACATCCCTTAGTCTTGGCGAGCTGAGGGTAAGTTTTTACTCTTTTAAAATATGAGCTCAAAAATTAATCCTTTTGTCCTGTTTAGTAACTGCTCAGTGATATGCAATGCTTTGGAAGCGAAGTGCTTGATTATGTAGCATTCCGGGGGGGGGGGGTACTTGTAAATGAATGTAGCTTATTCACTGACTGTTTAAAGTATATTTATTTATTTATACGAAATGGCAGGCGTTTTGATAGTCATCATTAGCCCTTTAGTTGACTTCAGGCTTCACAGAGGGGAAAGAACAAAAAAGTGAAAAGAGTCGAGATGGGGGGGGGGCAACAGAAGAGTGTTTCAACGATGTAAAAGAGACAGACACAAAGATGGAAAAAATGTGAGGTGAGTGCTTTGGAAGTAGTCGAATACGATATACAGTGGGGTGATGGTACTTTGAAGTGAGAAATCAACTGCCAGTTAATAGACTATTTTGCCTTATGAGTATACGTTGCCCAGGGTGTACCACGTGGAGTTAAGTCTATCGCACACCCCGACTAGTTAAAGTTAGTGGCTGCGTTAAACCTTATTTAAAGGGATCGCCGTTACTTTCATTTGCCTGAATTTGTCTGTAAGAAGGTATAGATACGGGAGTTAAATAGTTAAGTTTGAATATTTGGCAGTGAACTTTACCATTTCTTTCTTCGGAAAGTGAACCACTCAAAGCTCCCGTAGAACAAATATATTTTTGTGGATTCTGAATCTCCTGTTTTACTATTTCTACTCTTCTTCAGATGATTTCTCAGAATTTCTTTTTTGGTGTGTCATTGGCAAAATATTTTTCAATTTAATGACTGCCAAATGCTTTCATAGCGATTAGAAATCGAATTAACTCTCTTATTATTGCCCCTAATACAAAAATAGCCACTTTTATGTTGAGGCGTCGCTGATATCGAAATTCAGTAAATGGTAAGAGGTGCGTGTCAGAGTTTTGCTTCATTGGACTTCCTTATTCGGGCCCTATAATATCTACAGAATTAGCTGTTCACATTGGGAAATTCCGATTTCCGAATTCTCCTCCTTGCTCTTATGTGATTTTCAGCGCTTAATGATCAGTATTACTTAATCCAAAGGGGTCTGTCATGTTGCTCCAATTCTTTCCTTTTCTGGGATTAGTTGAGTTGACGCATTTTTCTTGCGGCTTACAGTTCGAGCACAGCAAGAGTTAAATATTCAAGTCTTTACTTGTTTGTCTGCGTTTATGGAAAGATTAATTTAATTTCTCGCATTGTTATGTTGTGTGGTTGCACTACGATTTCCCAAGACATTTCGACAACTTGTGCTCTTTCTTTATTCATTAGACTGCAACTGTAAAGGCAAAATAACGAAATGGCCCTTCAAGCAATTAACCGGGGGGAGAGGGGGGGGGGCAGGGATCGAATAGGAGGATTAATTGAAGTCAGGTTGTGAAGCGTTTTCCTTTGTCACTTTGTTTCTGAAAGTAACGAGTTATTCACTTTCTCATTAGAGGTGTAATTTACATGATTTCGCTTCTTTTCTAGGTGATGTTTTCACTCATTCCCTTTTTTATACCATTTTGCAGTCATCATGGAAGCGCGCTCTGGCATTAATGTTGCATTCTTTTACCTGATGAAGCAGAAGTTATCAGTCTACGTTTTCTATGAGTGTGTGTGTGGATGCCTCTGGGAATTAAATAGCCCCACCGTTTTCTGATGGTTATAGGTTGCGCATGCATTCTCCCCTCCCCTCCCCCCCTCCCCAACCCCCATCATATAACTTAATTAACGCTCTTTATTTACCAGTTAATTAGCTCATTAATATTTAAAGAATTGCTTTTGTTGTTACATTTGCGGAAGGCGTTTCGCAGTTCGTTTTGGCTGATGTTATTACTGGCACCTACACTCTTGCAACTTCCATCACATTTGCTGAAATAGGAAGTTTAGAAAACAAAAAATGTCTATGTCAATTTTGATTCACCAACGTAGTTTAAACACTCAAGATCGTTTTACTTAATTAGTTTTAACTTTTCAATTTCCTACCACCCAACAGAGACTATACAAAATGGTCAGAGTTGATGAATAATGTGGACATTAGTTGTCCTAGTCATAATTGAAAATGCAATTCATTTTAGTATGAACTAGATTACTTTCATTTACTGACAAGATAAATAAACTATTACTGAGATAACATCGCCATGTCGCCCCAAATGTGAATGTGCTTATATTGCTAATTGCCCTAGTGTATTCTTTTTTATACATTTTACTTATCCCTGCCTATTTAATGCATACTCAATGGTACTAATAGGACCAATCCCAGTAGTGATAACACATTAAGAGTTAGCTGCCAGTTAAAAGACTTTTGCCGTATGAGTATACGTTGCCCAGGGTGCACCACGTGGATGTAAGTCTATCGTACACATCTGTGAATCACTCTTCTGTTCCCCACACCTCGACTTTCTGTTACTTTGATGTTCCTCCTCCCCTCTGTGTGGCCCGAAGTCAGCTAAGTGGCTAATGATAACTATCAAAACGCCCGCCATTTGAAATAAATAAATAAATAAATATTAAGAGTTAGACCAAAATAAGTTTAGAGTCTATTTATCTAGTGATATGCCTTTTCGTTTATCTCGAAATATTAGGGAGCATTGTGTTGATATTGCAATCTACGATTATAATGGATGTTACAGCCGCATGAAAACAAGGGAAGAAATCAATTTTGGTCCTTACGAGGTTATGGAATTAGTATTACACTTCCAGTATACTTCTAAGTATTTTATTGTGTTCATGGCAGTTTAGTTGATTATGGGTGAAAATTTGCCCTCTCTATAGCGATTTTCATGAACGAGGTTCTTGGGGTTGTGGGGTTTGCAGTTTAGAGGCTCTGTATTGGATCCTGTTTGACATGATGCATGCATAATCCCATTAATTTAAGTGATGGTTTTATTTTTCTTTAGTTCTTTCTCCTCTGAATTCTTTTCTGTGTAATGCACAAGAAAATGCGTGCCTTCTCAGTTTCTCTGCTGATTTGGTTACGCTTGATTGGGATTTGTACACCTCTTTTCTTACTTGTAAATGTCTATACTGAATGAAAGTGCTTTAAGGAGAATTTTTACCTATCCCGTAAACGAGATGCGCTTAGTCGAATCGATCGAAAAGTGTCCACTTCTTTTTCTTTTAAAATTTGATTTGAACAAGAGATGTGGACTTTTTAAATTACCTCTACCCAAGAGAGACGAAGTTAAAATACAACAATGTCCTTCTTGAGGTGTGAAAAGGCTTATCCGGTTTAATTTAATGATTAGTGTCTTCTTCATTGGACTTGAAAGCCCTTAATCCTGGTAACCAAATCCATTTCTAATCCGTAAAAAGTCCCTCTCCCACTAGCTGCTTCTTATTCCGCCTTTACCTCTCGTTCACAATGTTTTAAACGGTCAATTTAATTAGGAATTGCAGTTAGACAACGTTGGAAAGGTGTTTTAGCTGTTCCGAGTTTTATACTTATCATTAGCACGTAGGCAGCCATAGAAAGCTCGAATTGTATTTCACTTTGCTGGAACATTTATACCTTTTTATAATAATTGAATCTATAATCTGCAAAATTCTCCATAAAAGTATCTAACGTTTACGATCATATTTTTGTATTCCATAGAAAGTAGTAAATATCACCGAAACCATTTTATTTTGCCCTCTACTATCACTTTAAAAATGGGAAATCTATATTGCCAACATGTAATCTCATTTGCTGGATTGATTTCGCCCTTAACTTTTGTGATTTATTCCTACAAATATTTTTTCCATATTTTGAAGGAACTTTTCCAGCCTTCTCCAATTGGAACAGTTTCCTGGACCCACGACCTCTTGGGCTGTCAATGTCAAAGGGGTTCCAGTCCAGCAGAAAATCTTGAAGCACCTCAAGAAACTGAGGATTCTTTCAACGAAGAGGAAGATACTCGGGCTTTTCAACTAGGTCGACATGGTAAACGAGCCAAGATGGATCGTCAAACACTTCCTTCATCTTCTAAAGGACTTGGACAAATAAAGAGTTGGAGTCACTTTCTTACCTCCGAAACTATTTCAGAGGCATCTCTTCTCTTTTCTTCACCGCATTCTATTAAAGCCGTCTTTCAACATGTAACCTCTGCTTGTGAGTCTCAAGGGTCTTAGTTCGTGTGTTTTTTTGTAAATATTTCAAATTCCATGCTCCGTACACCTTATTGAGGGAACATATTCCAATAAATTTTAAAGCTTCACTTTATTGATTCTATGGCGAGGGAACGTAGTGATATCCACTTCAAACTAGATATTTTTGGATCTTTTAACCCGGATCTGGTTGATCCGGTCTTAGCTACTTAACCTACAGCTGAAATAAGAATGAGTGCGTGGGTTATTCGGTCGTAAGAATTTAATGCGCATAATTTTGTTTTACTTAGTTTATTTCAATTATATCTGGGAGGCCCCACTTGCATACCCAGCTGTGAAAGCGGCAAATCAATGATGAAAAAGCCTTATTATTTAAATTTTTTCTTGAAGTTAACTTTATCTTCTTTCCCCACTTCCATCGAACTCATTACGTTCACCTGCCAAGTACGAACAAGCAGCTGACTGCAAGTCTGCACTAAGCACTCCTACACACTCCCTCTCCCTCTCGTGATACCTCGTAAATTCCAATCCTCACGGTCTTCTTCTCTATCTAACCTGTTGTCGTAGTGAAGACTTTTTTAGAAAATAGAAGTTATTGTCTACGAAATAGTTTTTTTGGAAAAAAATACTTCTATGGCTATGCACCCCTTTGAAAAGTTCTTGATCCAACCTTAGCGCTCCGATTTATTTATTATCCGTATTTTTGTCCTATTTACCTAAACTTTTACCGCTAAATTTAACGATTAATTGACTTCCAGGCGTGCTTCTACTAGTTAATTTTGTCAAGACCTTCCCCTGAGGTAGAACTTGTTAATTATTAATCTTTCGTGAAAAATAAGGCAGCGCGAAACTTTTTGATTGATTTTAGAACTGGTAGATCTCCAAGTTTATGCATATAGACAGTTCCAGTTGAGGTACTTTTGGTCACAAGCACTTCGGTTGCAATTAAATTTCTTCGAGTGGCCAAATTTTCGGTGAGGTGTGATGTGAATAGACGGGAAATAGCTCTCTCTCAAATAAAATCGAATGGCTGTCCTTTAGTTAACGATCGACTTTACTTCATAATTATTACCACTAACACCATCGGGGATTACCCTCTAAACGCCCTCTCTGCAACTTAGTGTGATTACTATTAATTAGAGAAGGATACTTATAGGACAGCAATATTTAATTCAATAGTGTTTTTATGGAGGCCGTTCGCGTCAAGCTTATACCAGATTGAATTTTTGCATATGGGGTGTGCGATAGACTTACCTCCACGTGGTGCACCCTTGGCAACGAATATTCATACGGCAAAAAGTCTATTAACTGCCAATTGACTTCCCACTTCAAACTACCACCACTTCACTCTATACCATATTCGACTATTTTCACAGTACTCTTCTTACCTTTTT